AAGTTCAAAGGGACATAAGTGCGGTATCATTCAGGACCATTCGGGGCAGTGCCCGGTCCAATACTTAGAGAATATTGGACTGGCAGTAGAGCATTTTGATTGGTTGATTTTAGTTATTGGCCCTCTGACTGCCCGAGTCGTGTAATAAGTACATATAATGCAGTACCAATATGGTGTTACAGCCAACATTTACTGTAAATAATTAGAGATGGGTTCTCCATCACTTCATTTCTGGTACACACATGACTAAATTGAGAAGTCTTCTTCGAAACCTAAAATATATGAAAAAGAATATTAGTACTAGTAAGGTCATGCAAGCACAGATATTTACAACAGTTCTTTATCAACCTTTCAATTCAAAGCCACACTGACAGGAAGTCAAACATCTCAGGTTACATTTTACAGCTAAGAAGCATTTGTACTCTTGCATAGCTTGTTGGGTTCTTGGTCAGTGAAAAGGAGCAAAATCATAGCAATTATTGCTCAGAGGTTGTCTAAGTGCATGCCATGGAATAATAGAAAACTGATGGTGTACTTCCACATCCTTGCCATCTATCCCCACCCCCTCCCCCCCCCCCAAAAAAGAAAACCTAGCATGGTTGTAGAAAGGAAAACCACATGTGAGCCAAGCGACAACTTTGAAGAAAGTAAAAGGGAAGGCAATGAGGGAATGTACTGGGTAAGCATGTTTCAGTCATAGACCCTGAATTTCTGGCTAATGTACTTGTATGAGAAGCCTTTTAACTTGTATATGATAAATTCTTATTTTCTCCTTAGAATATTCGCAAGATGCCAATGAACAGAGTCATGAACAGTTTACCTCAGCCTACAGTTCTGGATGCCTGCGTCTTGCATTCATAAAGAAGTTTGCAACTGTCTCTCTCTCAAGCCCAAGTTCTTCTGCAAGGGCATTCTGCATCTCTTTTGAAGGCTTCTTAGTTTCTTTAAAGATTGCAAAAAGTGCTCTTTTCTGAGAATCTGTAAAGTACAGCCTTGTCTTCTTTTTGGGTGGGCCACTCTCTTCTTCACTCCTGGCTTTAGCATCAAGTTCTAGAGCCGCTGCAAAGACATAGGCAGAAAGTTTAACCTCTCCTTATACTATTAAACTATCATTTAGTCAGTGATTAAGAGAATAAACAAACTTGTCACAGTTCTTCACTTATATTTTGCCTATACACAACACAAAATTCCCCCAAATAGCTGACTAGGTTTCTTAAGTACAGTGTGTAGTAGCTAAAAGGGAGAATACCAGATAAAATCTTGGGATTTTTCACCCTTTCAATCCCATAATCTCATCAGCAATTCTTTCCCTCTCTTCTATACAATTCTTATGATGCTACTCAAAATAAAAACAGTTACAGAGTACATGTCCCGTAAATTGTTTTAAGTGACCAATTTTGGTATAAGTAATAGCTTTGCATTTGGTTGGTTGAGATACATGTAGCAGCACAAGTTTTCTTGACCAATCACAGAACAAAGTAAAGAAAAACCAAAGCAGTCCAGGATCATTTTTGATACTCAATTAACTCTTTAATTCCCAGAAGGGATTAACCTGTAACTTCTCCCTATAATATCCATACATGATACAGCAAACAGGTCATGAGAATACTCAAACTTACCAAGTAGAAATAATTTGGATATATCAACAAAGTTGAAATGGTAAATTGGCCACCATAACAATTACAAAAGCTGACATTTTGAACGTTAGCCTTTTGTAGGAGCGAAGCGTTAGCCCTTTACTCCGACAAAGGGCTAACACTCGAAACGTCAGCTTTTGTAATCATTACAGTGGCCAAATTACCATTTCAACTTTGTTATTATATCCAAATTATTTGTTTCCCCCACCGACGCAGCCCCAAACAGTTTCTTTAGAAACTATCAGCTTTTATCAGGTAGAAGTTGTTCCCTTGCCTGTACACCGAATTCTCATAACCAATTTACAAGGAAATGTTTAGCAGCCAGAGGGGAGAATTCATAATCAGATCAGTTAAAGTTGGAAGATAATTTGATCTAAATTTACCTTCTGATACAGTATTCAGTTTCCCTTTTTCATTCCTAAAAATCGTTCCCACGTTCACAGTGCACTTCTTACCCTTGGTTTACACTGGGCAGTCACGTGGACTAAATAATCATTGTGACAGCACTTCCAATCAACTTTGGAGTAGATGGGGTTTCTTTGATTGGTCACATCTACCAAAAGTGTAGAACTGCTTGTCATTTAGGAGGGCAGTAACCCCTTGAACTCATGTCAAGAGTCATGACTTTGTATCATGTAAAGTATCAGGGGTTTTCACTTGAAATACATACCGCCAATAAAATGGACAATACTCAACAGACCCCTTTTTGTTGCAACAGTCAACTTGTATTGATACTTTTCAAAGCATTTCACAAAAGTAGGGAAATGGTATGTATTGGAAGATAATTTGATCTAAATTTACCTTCTGATACAGTATTCAGTTTCCCTTTTTCATTCCTAAAAATCGTTCCCACGTTCACAGTGCACTTCTTACCTTCTGCCCTTAGTTGTGGAATTCTTTTCACTTCTGGTAAATCGAGCCATTCTTTCATTTTTCGGAATATTTCTCTGCCTCCTCGCAATTCATTCCAAGGTTTCGGTTTTCGTAAGACATCGCTCAATGTCCCTTGAGAGCGATTCAAAACCTTTCGTGCAAAAACAGCTTGAGGGATAGAATACTTTTTTAGTTCATTTGTGAGTGCTTCGGCAATTTTTTTTGTATCAAGATTTTCAAACCTGCTCAAATCGAACTCTTCAGACAAGGATGCGTCGGCAGAAGAATCTAATGACTTTTGTTGGGCGTTTTTGCGGGTGATGCCTAATTCTGTCGAAGAACTGTCGGAATTCTGATTTTCACTTCGAAAATGAGTTCTAACGCGAGAGTCTTCGAATGTTTCATTGTTTGTAGAGCTGTCATCTTGTATCCGAGATGCGCTAGCGATTAATTCGTTTATTTGTTCCAAAGCAACTTGTTCCATGACGACAATTCCGCGGGCTGAGTCCAGCGAAATCCCTTCGGAAACTACTGTGGTCGAAATAATTGTATCAGTCACATTGGGGCTTGTACCATTTTCGTTGCCATTACCCATATCACTGTCCAAGTTAGCAAAATCGTCACTCTTTGAATCCTTCGAGTTACGTTTTCCATTCAAATTCATTTCGGTCGCCGTGTTAGAAGTTTCGTTGTACATGTAGGGTGAATTCAGAGGAGTTTTCCTCTGCTGGCCTAATACTTCTGGTTGTAAAGTTTCAACATTTGTGGAAGTGTTGACTTCTTCAGATGCTCCGAGCGCTAAAGGATCCAATTCATCAACATCAGAATCATTCGGAGTATCGACCAAATTTGAAAGCGAAGATATCGAGTTTGAAGCACGAATTTCATCGGAGCTCATACCAGAAAGTCACTAAGTGAACATTCTTCCTAACTGTCGGAATATTTCAAGCACACTGTTGCTTCAGAAACAACACTGTCAAAGAAAACAGCAACACATTATTAGTAACGGTGTCGCCGCCATATACAAGCATCAACACTGTACTTAGCGACCACCCCTTGTTATTCGGCCGCTCGCGAGGATTGCTCGCGAGTCTCTGAGTTTTTATTACTATTATTAGTATTATTATTATTATTATTAATTATTTCGTTGCAGGAGAAAAATGAAAGATGACATCACCTTTCCTCGTCGCCCGTCTGTGTTCAGTCAGTCTTGTTGTGAGGTTTCTGCCAGTCTCACCGATGTAGGAGGCTTGGCAGTCGGAACAATTGATCTTATAAATCGTTCCCTGTCTGTTCCTCGGTTCGTCTTTGTCTTTAACGTTGGTTAGTAACTGACGTAGTGTGGTGATGGGTTTGTGGGCGACGCGGATATTGAAGGGTAGTAAGATGCGCGAGATGTTTTCAGACATGCCTTTTATGTACGGTATGGTTGCTGTAGTCGTAGGGGTTGCGGTGTCGTTTGTTTCGGTAGTGGTAGTGGGTCGGTGAGTGTTTCGTCGGATGAAGTCGTTGTTGTAGTTGTTCTTCGTAAAAACACGGTGAAGGTATTTGTTCTCGTCGGATAAGCTGTCTGTCGAGTCGCATACTAGTTGTGCGCGTCGTGTTAGAGTTCTGATAGTTGTGGCTTTGTGTGATGTAGGGTTGTAGGATGACTCGTCTAGTAATCTGTCGGTGTGTGTCGGTTTCCTGTAAACTGTCGTCCGTAATGAGTTGTCGTTGTGGCTTACNGAACAAAACACTGACATACAGTTTACCAGAGAAGTCGAAGAAAATGGCAAACTTCCTTTTCTAGACTGCCTGGTAAGCCACAACGACAACTCATTACGAACGACAGTTTACAGGAAACCGACACACACCGACAGATTACTAGACGAGTCATCCTACAACCCTACATCACACAAAGCCACAACTATCAGAACTCTAACACGACGCGCACAACTAGTATGTGACTCGACAGACAGCTTATCCGACGAGAACAAATACCTTCACCGTGTTTTTACGAAGAACAACTACAACAACGACTTCATCCGACGAAACACTCACCGACCCACTACCACTACCGAAACAAACGACACCGCAACCCCTACGACTCCAGCAACCATACCGTACATAAAAGGCATGTCTGAAAACATCTCGCGCATCTTACTACCCTTCAATGTCCGCGTCGCCCACAAACCCATCACCACACTGCGTCGAAACGTCAGTCACTACCACCGACAGCAGTCCTTCTCAGGACTACACTCACCCGGACGATCAGACTACACCTTCACATGTTACCTCCGGGTTCAAACCATTTACTGCAAAATAAGCCAAGGCCCTAATTTTGTTCCCTGGGGGACGCCTGAGGAGACAGATTCCCACTCTGATACATATCCTTCACCAAGTTTGATTCGCTGCCGATCTGTTTGACAAAAAGTCATTTATCCAATTTACTGCACTTTGGCACGTCTAACATACATAATGTCCTTATAAGAATGCTATCGTCAATTAATCAAAAGCTTTACGGTCATCGAACAAGACAGTTCTTATAGTAGTACTGTTCTCGTCGGTGCCCTTAAATCAATCATGAAGCATGTCCAACAAAGCAAGCGTGGTTGACGACTTTGGTACGGTACAGGTTTGATGTAATCAGCTAGAATGAAATCTTCAGCTACTTTAGAGGGACATTGCGTGAGTGAGATGGGTCTAAGATCTTTCTTTAAGATCGCCACAGGCTTTTTCTTTGGAAGGGGTATGACATCAGCAAATTTCCAGGATCGAGGTAAACGTTGCCCCCTAAACGATGCATTAAGAATTCTGTATACCGGAAAAGCAATGAGGTCAGCGTATTTTCGTAGAAGCCAATTAGGAATCCTGTCTGGGCCAACCGATTTAGAGGGATTAAGATTTGATAGGACTTTCCATACACGTTCCTCCGATACTTCCAGGAACTCGGGAAGTCTTTTTCCAGGGGAAGGTAATCAATGGAGCAAGACAGAAGATACTTTTCAAGAGGCTGGAGGAATTCTTTATTTATAGAGTTCGCCAGATCTTGTGTGGATGAATTTTCAACTTCTTTGACGTTCATGTGATTAAGGAGATCACCTTTCATCTCAGAAAAGCTACATGTATCTACTTTAAAAATACAATTACAGAGATAAGTAAATATAGAATACTTCATGGAAAGTCCGCGCGTACGGTGTTTACACACGAGTTGTGGCGTATCAGAAATCAAACAAGTGAGCGAAGCGAACGAGTGAGATTTCTGATACAAAACAACGAGTGTGTAAACACCGTACAAAGCANATGTTTTCCTGTTAAATTAAATGTTATTAAAAGTTCTGTCAATGTTTGATTTCTCTATTGTTTACATGGAAGTTTATGGGTCGATACAAAGATATGTTCCTGATGTTATTTTGCGGTAAGGTAAGCAGATATCTGCATGTAGTAATTTTAATAACTAGGCTGGTTATTACGTTTCCTAGCTCATTTCTGTTAATCTAAGATATTACCTCCTTGCTACTTATCTGCAAAAAATGCTGTTGGGCAATGCAAACAACCAACATACCCAAACTCTGCCAAAAGATGCAGATTTCAGGAAGGAAAAACAAAGAGAGACGTCAGAACAAATGGTGGCAGCCATTGCAGAAACGTTGACTTCGAATTCTCGCCTCGGAATACTAGGCTTCGTGGCTTCGCCTGGGCAATAGTTAAATAAAAGCGAGTCGTCTAATTTCGCTGCAAGCGGCGACCTAGAGATAAAATCAGTGTTTGTAAACATAGTTTACTCCGCCATTTTGAATTCTCAGGTGGGTTACCGCTGTACACCCGTTCCCCGTTCCCCGTTCCCCGTTCCCCGTTACTAATTTTAGTAACATCCCTTAATAGAGGTGAATATTTCAGTGATTAAGTGGAAACAAATTCGGGACTTTAGCAACCGACCGCTTTATACAGGGTGACCGCCTAAGCACCTTAACGATAAATGAAGCCTAAAATTAACTTTCGATCCCCTTGGGAAACGTTAGCCACCAATTTGAGTTACCGGTCTCAGGATCTTCTTGCCAATAGCTCCATACAGGAATGAGGAAAATTAAAGCTTCGTTGCCAACTGGCCGAACAGCCAGTTGTTGTTGTTTCGAATTTTTTTTTTCGCGTGTGCTGCACTTGCTGCATGTTGTGCCTTTGTGGCTAAAACTGCATACAGCCTACAACTTGCACTCCTGCAAATGACTGACTTGCATAACTGCTGTAACTAAATTCATTTTTTATCACATAAATCGACTGCTGCGGGGCCAACTAGGTCTCCCTAGATCAGATCCTAATCCATCACAGGTTACTCCCGGCCTTTGCATTTCACAAGGCTTTCTTGAAAATTGGCCGGTTCAGTGTACCGCCTTCTGCACTTTTGCAGAGAGCGTCATTACCGGAAGAACGTGCCAGCTAGGGTAGAGGCCTGGGAACCTCTCGTTTGGGAGATAATCGCGCCTGCTATAGGGCTCTCGCCCCGTCGACACCAATAAAATGAAGATTCTGAAGTAGCTTTTGAGTGGTGTGTTGAATTTCCTTCGAAGTCCTAGACTAAACAAATGTATACCATGTTACCGTGCGTCTGTTCCGTAACAGGTCACAGATGACGTCGAAATGTGAAAAAAACAAAACCGTGGCACACGAAGTGCAGTCGCGTGTGTCACGAATATGCTTACAACATTTTGAGAACCTTTGATGAATACGTATTAGCTGGCTCCAAACCAAAAATATTTAGGCAATCAATGAAAGTACTTATTGATTTTCATCTTCGACCTGTTTGCCATGTATCTGTAAATTTACAATTTGATGTCTAGAGCATGTTTACGATGAAACCTGTGGAGCTTCAAAGACTTGCCAAAGCCTTCTGCACTGAAAGCATGTTGAAAAAAAAAAAACGGTGGCTATCATAACATTCCTCATATTCAACCTGATATGACCACCTCCGCAAAACATGCTCACTTTCAGCATTAGTGTGAAGCTAGTTAAGCTGTGTTCATAATAAGATTATCATTTTTAAATCAATCGTTGATCATTGTCCCGAGACAGTAAAATACCCTCCGAAACATGTTAGGTAGAGAAAAAATAAATAAAATTCCTTACGTTGTTTTTACCTTATCTCTTTAAATCTTCGACACACACAAACACACAAAAGCATGACATATGGAGCAATAAACCTTCAAAAGTAAAAGATATTAAGATATATTGTTCATGTGTACCTCTTAAGAAATACACTCTTAATTTTCAGTTTGTAATGATCATTGACATAACGTGGAACAAAAAGTTTCTATGGTGCCCAGTGAAAGTGAAACTAGTTTGTTTCACTTGTTTTGAAAATGCGTCAGTCATGCTGATAGCTTATTCAACTACCTAAAACTCTCCACGCCTCTTCGTTATTCTCGTTCCTCAGTCAAGTCAATTTTTCTAATTGGTGGATCATATTGCTATCTACCTGGCAGATGTTACAATATTAACGAATCTATTTGTGTTTGCAATTTTAGTCATCAACAGACTGTTTAACATTATTAAAGATAGTTTAATTAATACAAGTTAAGTTACAAGTTGCAACAAATTGAATTCAGTTTGACTTCAACAATTTAAGTAATAAAGAGAATGGCCTTTTATTTCAAATAAACAAGAAAGAGAATCCTTTACAAACATAGGAACATACAGCTCACTTTTCAGCAAGTAATCCATCCAATGAAATGGAAAAAATATTCAAACGTTTTAAAATACTGCTTTGTTCTTCATTTATCTCTTTATTGAACCCTATGGCGACTACATATTAGCTGGTTTCAAACCAAGTACCTCTAAGCAAGGAAGGGAAGAACTTGACAACTGTCAGCATTGACAACTTCGCTTGGTGCGATCAACATCATGCGTTAAGAGAATACTGTCCAGCAGAGAGGGTTAAAGCTTACTGAGTGTAGAAAAAGTAAGATTTTAAAAAAAATTTGAGGGAAGAAAAAAAAAAATCTCACAACACGAGGATTTTCTCTAAGTCACGCATTCAAATACGACCGTGTCCAACAGGGCTTAATTCAATAGCTCGGACCTGAGAGGAGAGTAACGAACGTAAGCAGCTCCGCTTCTAAGTTTGATTAAATCACTACATCAATTATACTTGAGAATCACTTTCACTTTCATAGAGGAGCATGGAAAAGAAAAACGCTCAAAAACAGAACATCATTGCCAGCAAACCACATTAAGGTTGTAAAACGCATGAATATACGATTATGGAGGTCACGTGATAGGCGCTTGTCGAAAGAGTTCATGAAGTGACAATTTCACTTAGCAAAGAAAAATTGAAAGAAAATTTTAGTCGGCAGCAAATAGTTATTTGTCACATCTTCCTACTGAATACTCGGCTGCGCTGCCTCCTTGGAATATCATATAGGTATACTAGTGTGTAAAGCAATACACTAATTAAAATATTTCTCGTGATGCAGAGTCACAGTCCTAATTAAGGTCCCATCTCACTTAGGTTTGCAACGATTTTTCCTTGGATAGTTTTTCACCAATCAGCCAATTGCAGCCTTCGTCTGTCAACCTTGCCTGTAGCAGTCTTTGGAAGATCATCAACGAATTTCATCTGTAAAATTGGAGAAAATGTATATTTTGGTTTGTTATGCACACATCTAATAAATACATTGCGGAGAATACATTCCTCATTGATATTTTAGATAAGACGAACTTCACGACAGGTAAAATCATTCTTTATGTTTGGCACCGACATTTAGCATGTCTAATTTCTTTGAGACGTCACCATGACTACAAAGGAAGAAAAGGAGGTTACTGACGAGTTATTTTCCTCTTTCCTTAAATACCCCTTCCAAAAGTTAAAATTTTCTTTTTTTTTATCTTAATTTATCAAATATACGAACAATATGTTGACACAATGTCATAATTTCAACTCTTATACATGTAATGTTTCATTTTGTACATAAAAAAAAGTTTTAAGATTTCCATTTCATATTCATATTTTCTATTTCTCTAATTAAACATGTAGGATAAAATTATAGATACAACCTCCTCTGGACACATCCAGGATCCACTATTATGTGTCACATGATGTTGTAGCGTTTTGATCAAATGGTCTTGGTTTTCATTTTGGAAGCCACTTGATAACACAACGAAAGCTTTCATGATCTAAATCAAACGTAAACAGATTTTATTACCGACAATCAGCCACGATTCGATACCCTTGTGTGATTCCTTTGTCCCACTTCACTTGTGAATGTAACAGATTTTCTACACTGAGGGTGAACCCAAAAGACATATTATTTGCCAGTTTTGGGACAAAAAGTTTTCTCAAGAACGAGAACGAGATACGTGTCAGGGAACATCGCTACGTGTTAGGGGAATGGTTAAGGGTTTCATGTCACTTACCCAAGAAACTTGCTTGTGTAACTGCACTGAGGCTTAGCCTCAGTGACCCTCCCCAAGATTAAGTTGACAGAAAGCACTAGTAAAATCTTAGTGTGCCGCGTGGCATTGAGGCAAGAACTTTTCAAAAGGTGAAACCCTTCCGAGCCAATGAATCTTAATGCACATTATGAAGTCCCTTAACGGCCCAGATTTTGGACAGGACTTTTGTTACATCTTGGCCCCTGATAGACCCGTATGGCATTAGTTTCTCAAACACTGTTGTGTATGTTAATCACCGGAAGCCTATCCCCAGCGCTCTATGCGCCACACAGTTCTGTGTAAAGTGTCCCTTGTGGTGTTATTGTTTGATACATGTATAATTTCATCGACGGCGCCCTGTACCACTAGCGAAACCCCTGGACGTTGGTTGTGTTTACCAGTTTTTCTGTTTGTCGCATCGTAAAGAAACTGAGAGGATCTGCTATGTTAGAGGTTAGCAAGCAAGGTTATACAACTGTGAACCTAGGTTACTTGTGTAAATCTTAACTAAGGAAAGATTCTTGTGGGGTTCTTGTTTATGCATTATAGAATTTGATGTTTCTATTGTTTTATAGTTTCAAACTCTAAATTTTACATGACAATTTTGGACTTTCCATTGGCGCAAGATTCACAACTGCTAATGTTTTTGTCACCTTGGTGGTTATCTCTAAACTAGCCGCTATACTATTATGTCCGTCTTTCTCGCATAGGCTAATTCATCGCCTCCTTGTGGTTATACGCTTCTTTCGGGACTCGAGGATCGAGATTCTAAGCTATTCTTGATGCTTGCTCCTTGCTACCATCGCGATACACCTCTCCAGCCTTATCCCGCCTGAGTAGTCATACGAAATACCTGTCTATAAAGATGAGAGATGCTGACCACAACGCAATTCAAAACAGCCGGATGTTCTTTAAGACAGTTTTCTACATCACCGGGGATAATGTTGCATCTGAAATACAGATTTAACTGGTCAACAAAGAAAGTAAAACAGATACGCTTGCATGCCTACATAGGATGAAGGCTCAAAATGCAAGTTGCCTGGAAGCAAACAGCACTGTGACTATGAAGCAGTACACATTTGAGTTATGTATGCGAGTGCTGAAGAATAATTGTTAAACGTGTCACAGGTCACGAACGACCTACAAAGCGGCCAAAATCAAATCTGAGGAAATTAAAGTAACACTGATTCAGTCATTGAGGTCAAGCTGCACTGATGGCAACAATACCTGATAATTAAACATCAAACATTTTGAAAGAGATGAAACGTTTACACAGGCTTTACTTTCCCGATCAGCGATACAACTGGAAACAGAACTAAGAAAGCGAATTTGGCATCGATCTCGCCACCAAGCGCGATTCCCTACCTTCATTAAATGGTAACTTTTCGATGCAAATTGCTGTAACAGTACATGTTTGTGACGTTTGTGTGTATGAAGAAAAAATTTAAGAATTAGATCGCAAATATCATAATACATCTTTGATGTTCAATTGCTACAACTATGCAGCTACAACTAAAGACGAGGGTTGCAGGACGTGTGGTTGTAGACAGAGCAGTAGATAACAAATTATGATGATAAATTGTCAAATGTGACTGGTTGGTATTGGAAATGCTGGTAAAGCAAGGATACCCAGTAATAATCAATTTCCAATACCACACAGAAAGGAAGCTGCGAAGCACACACAACTGATTTGAAGTGAAGACACGAAGGCTATTTCTATGGTTAAATTGAGTACAGAAAACTTAAGGTTAAATCTCTAAATCATGTTCGTACCCGTCGATAATGAAAACGTCGTCAGTTCTTCCAACGATCCAGAAATAACCGTCTCTGTCCATTCGGCCCAAATCACCTTTCGACAAAAATATATGACCATTTTGCAAAGTATACTATAATCTAAAACAAAATCAAAAATAAAGAAATTCCAAGAATCATAATTAGTTTTTAGTAGATATCAGGTAAGAGTAAATTGAATCCGAGTTTGATCATAAAATGTCGAAATACTTTGTCGATATTTCTTGTTAAACAAACTTATGCAAACTCTGGCATCCACATTTCCTGACAGTCGTATTCCCAAACAAATCAAATACTAGATATGCAAAGAATATCACGTCATAGCCACAACTATACAACCGTTCACTTTTTTAACAAAAAGTTGTGACTGTTTTCCAAAAATCTCTCGGAGCATTCGTCAAATCCCTATTATTTCCAGATGGAAAAACCCAGCTTTCTTTAAATCCCTTAAGTTCCGTTGTTCATACCAGTGATGAAGAAATCTCCACAGAAACATGACTCAGTCTTCTCTGGATTATCCTGCAAAAAAAATTATCCTTTATCAAGTTAATATCGCAAGTTAAAATTGATGTTCATGTGACTTACAACGCGGAGATAAAACCTTTCAAAAACTATTCTACTACGTTTGAAATTATAAATAAGAGACACATAAAATCACGTAGTCTCTCAGAAGCCTCTGAGCTGATTGGATGCCAGGGACAAATCTCTTGAAGTACATTTCCCTTCAACATATTACAAGAAAAAATCCGTAAATTAATAGAAGAAGAAGAAGAAGAAGAAGAAAACTTTATTCAAGTATCAATGTATTTAGCTTTACAAGTATAAAAACTAATTGGGGACACTACTTATATACTAAAGAAGTTTAAAGATAAATACACTAGTTATTTAAACGTTCAGAGTAAAATTTCAATATCCTATTAAAAGTTTATAGTCAAGGTCTAATTGGACGAAACTCTTAGGCGAGTTGCAATTTTGAGAACGTACAAGGTAACTAAGGGAGGATAAATCCTGTTGCCCCTTATTCTACACGTTTCAAGTGGCGTGGATGTTGTAACGTCGAGTTGTGTGGGGTGTTGCGTAAGGACTGACTTACCACATAACGAGTGAACATTCCCACCGGGCAATAAGGCTGCACACGAACAACAACTCTGCCTTGTGTACCTGGAGGTACTTCATTATATTCATCATCAACAATCTGAAACCCAATTACATCAAGAAAAATTAGATAGAGACAGAGACAGAAAAAGACAGAAAGACACACACGCACACAGGGAGAGAGAGGGGGAGAGAGGGAGAGAGAGAAAGAGAAAGAGGGCTGTGTGCTGTAGCTTGTCCTCAAGATGGTAGACATATAAGGCTTAATCTAATCAGTCCAATTCTTAGCAGAATATGTCATTTATCTTTAAGAACTTACCAGCATATCGATTCCTGCAAGAGGTTTTCCGACTGAATCGAGACGAGAATCATCACCAGGTTCTCTTGGAAAAGTCATGGTGTTCTGAATAAAGAAATACAGTTTCACTGTCTACAAAAATTAACTGTCTGTTCGCTTTATTGCTTAAATGAGTACCAGCCGGCTACTTTATCAGCAAAATCACTTCACGGGTTTGTTACGAACCAAAATAATGACCAGCTCTTAGTTGGCTTGTTAGCTCAGTTGGTAGAGCACTGCACCGGTATTGCAGAGGTCATGGGTTCAAATCCCGTACAAACCTGAATCAGGTCTTATTTTCACTACTGCTTAAGTAGTGTTTATTACCGCGAGGATCACTTTCGTATTCTTTGATTGAACTGTGTTTATCTACAAGATGCGTACCATTTCCGTTTGACCATAGTAGTTCCAAAGTTCTATCCCTGTTTCCTCTTTCCATCTGCGGATCAAATGCTTGTTCGCTGGTTCTCCAGCCACGAAACAGCGTTTTAATTTCGGGAAGGTAAGGCTTTTGAGATCCCCTTCGTCTAAGGCTTTCATGTAAAGTGAAGAGCTAAATTGTGCGTCAGTAATTGGATACTTCTGAAGGGTCTCCAGTGCTTCACGGGCGGTCGGAAATGCAGCGTAATGAACAAACGTGCCAGCGCCAACAGACCAGGTCGAGAAGAAACTGTTGATAGAGAGAACTGGCCAACCAGTTGGGGAAGCAGTCCAGATTAAGTCAGATTCCATGAAGAAAGATCTGAAACAAGATGAAATGACAGTTCAGGCCCGATTTAGACTGGTAAACCTTCTAAACAAAAACTAATTGCAAAAGGTATATTACCATAGAGATAACAGGACGGTCAGGTTTTCAAAATGTTCCGCACTGAAGGGACATTCATGTTTTGAGAAGACCTTCGCATTCATCTTAGAGTACCAAAAACAGGATTCATAACAACCAGGGTGTCTGCATGCAACTAAGATGCATGTACTACGGACGATAAAATGTTCTTCAAAGTGAGTCGCAGCAGTTTGCTACTCCATCGGTAAAAGTGTACGATTAGGCTGCCTGCGTATTCTACTAGTATGCGACAGGTATTCTCCTGCACAGGTATCACTGTGATCGATGTTTGAAATTATTTTCAGAATTGCTTTACTTCCTTGAGGGTGTATTTTCTCATACTTACATACTTATTTTCTTTTTACCATGGTTACAAAAAGTTTGGAGAAACACTACTATTGGCTAGTGACAAATCACCTTCATTTTCATCCATATCACTTTATTAGTAATTTACCACCTCCAAACGTACTTTTTCATTCCACCACTACCCAGGCCTGTGCTTGCTTGTGAATGTTCCACCATCTTAGAATTCCCGGTTGTTCCACTGGTGTGGTATATGTTGACAGGAGCAGAGCTTTGAGACTTCACAGACTAATAAAGAAAGAAAGGTAGCTTATCTCTAGGGATTCCGCTAGTTTTCTTTGAAAGTTCTTAGTTACCATCGATGCCCCATGTTAGAGAGAGGGGCGCTTTTAAAGTGAATTCTCTTGCCTAGGAGCAAACACAGCGACGCAGCCTAGGCTTGAATTCAGACTTCTTTACCCGAGGTTCAAGTACATACTATTTATCAGGTTGGTGCGCCTCCCAGCATCAATTTTAAGTGAGAAGTGGAAGAGTAGGGATAAACCAGAACACTCCGTCAAGTATTACCAGTCCCTTGTTGAAAAAGGATCTGTAGCTTGGTTGCCCCTCAGAGCGAAATCATTACGTAGGGCACTATTTTAGTTCTGAGGTTTCCGGGTGGATGTAGAAGTGAGATCATAGCGGATGGATTAGCTACATACTTGATAAACAGCACTTGCTTTTTGAAAGTGATCTTCAAATGAGAGCCAACCTCCTCGCCTGCACAATAAATAGGTTTTTTCAACGAGCTATCATTTTCACAGACATTGATAAAGATATCTTTTTGCAGTGAATCAAAAGGTCTTTTAGAGATGTAGGGTCACCTTTCTTCATATTTCATTCTGTTCACCAGAATTCTGCTTCTTATCTCGACCTCTGCAGAGCGGAAAACCTGGAACAGGGAAGAAATTACAAATAATATCAACGACCGTTCCGCAGGTCAACGGGTATCGTTACTAGTTGACCCAGTGTGAAAAGTCAGCACTAGACAACATACAAGATCCGTTATGAAAAGATAACGCCAAAGTTATACAATTCAGTATGTGGAAAATATATCATAGATTTTACACTGTAGCGAGAAGATTGGAATTTCTCATTAGAGTGTCAAGAACAACATGAGTGAGCGCAGCAAACGAGTGAGATATTATTCGTGCCACGAGAACATAAAATTCGCTTCTATGGACAATAAATATACATGGTGGATCGGATTGAAAGTCTGTGAATGTTTTACTTCTTGGTAAAACACTCACGTCTATATAATAATACTTTATCTGATGTAGCTCAGTTAAACTATACCAAAGGATAATGTTATACATGCAATGTTGAGGTAAACATTTGAAACTCAAAAGCAATTTTTCGTGGACGAAATGAATGTTGTCGAGTGATTTCCGAGGCTAAGTCGAACAGTGGAAAAGTCTGAAGTTAAAATGCAACTTTTCTTTCGCTTACATTTGAAATATTTTAGCTGGAGTACTTGAGTTGACTGTGCTCTGTTCTGTTGTAAAGCACGTAGGAAGCGGC